ACAACTACTCATCGACATCAATTTCAAACTACTTAAAGTACCTAGTTGCTAAATGCAGTGTAAAACACTAATAATCAAAGGGTAATATCTCTGAGAAGTCTAAGTGAAGTAAATACAGCAGTTTAATTTAACATATGGGTGAGTTTGATGTAGTATATTTTTGATGCTCTATAGAAGTCTAAGTTTTGTTATTTACTATTGAGCGATCTAAATAAACAACCGATAGAAGTTGAGTAAGAAGTTATTTGTGAAGTCCTATAAACTTAATCTTTTAACATCTCATTTATAACATCACTCAACCTGGCGTTTGGCATCCGTGCGAATGTGCGATATCTCTGAGACAGCCTAAGGATATTGAGAAACAAATGACATAAGTAAATTTTTTGCTATAGAATTATGTGTTATATACAAATCATTGCTAATCAATATTTTATTGCCACAATGAATAAACATAAAATGTTGAAAAAGTTGTTTTGTTAATCTTCCTTTTAAAACAATTAAAGACGTATATAAAAGAAAAGACCTAAACTCTGTAGCTTTAAAAAATTCTAATTCGTCCAAACTCCGCGGTAATCTATTAAATTCTGAAGGGAAGTATGGTTTTATGTCAATGAGTTGTGAAGAAATTTCAGATACTATTTCAACACTTTTAAACCTAATAGGTTTTTTTCCTTTTACTCAAAAGTAAGTAAACGTTTCATGACCCCACGCAGACATTGTGCATATAGTCTAGAACGACAGTTGATACCAAATTAATGGAAAATTCTTCTAAAGGGCTAGGTCCTTTGTGGTAATCTTCATCCTTTTTTGAACGAAATGAATCGTCAGTTCTTAAAGGAGAAGACACTCCTAAAAATGACATCCGGCCATTAATAAATGTTCCTTCGTCGATACAAGAATTGCAGCTATGGTATGCGTTAAAGGATTTAACATTTAAAATAAAATGCCTTTTGCCGGAGCGTCACAAATTATTGGCTTATAATAAATTGTAAATTTTACCATTTAAGTATATTCCATTTGAAATAATACTTTTCATTTCAGTCATAAAAGAGCTTAACCCTTTCAGTCCCGACTTTTTGTTTCGAAAAAAAAAAATTTTTTTATTTACCGTTTAATATAGTGATCCTGAAAATTTCAAAATTTTAACACACTTACTTTCGAAGAATCGTAATGTACATGGGACTCGGCGGCATAAAATAAGACTGTAAACCGAACGCTACATATTAATGCTTTTTATACGTACCTACTGATAAAATAATTTAGTTTTCTTCGAAATGGTTGTGGCTTATTGTGTATAAACATATCTAATTTAATTTATTTTATATCATTTCTTGTTAAATTTAACGAGTGTAGAATCAACAAAATAATATTCTAAAAACAAATATTCGTATTCTATTATTATAACGTCTCGTCGCTACGCTGCACATGATTATCAAAGTTATAAATAAAAATAATAACCTTTATAAGAATACACATACGTATAATTGTATTTATAGTAACGCTGTACAATTATTTTTTCGTAATATAACTTTTATTACTGATAAAAAATAAAATATAAATAGGAAATAAAATCAAAAAAAAAAATCATTGTACTTGTATGAAATTAGTTGTTAAAAATATAATAATATTATAAATTATAAAAATCTAAACATGAATTGCCCGAAAACAATTTGATTTTGTCGTCAGACATAAATGGACATTGCATTTTTCGCACATACATGTGTTCTTCCTTTACAGCCTGCATTTTTGCATCTGGTCGCTTCTTTTCGAGTGTTTAAATCCGGCAAGTGACTCACTTTATCAAGTTGAATGGATGTCGACGGTCTTGAGGTTACATGTTTTAGTTTTTGATTTTCCGAGTATAATTTTTTTTTTACTGTAGGTGATGGTGTACTTGGTGGTCGTCCTTTTTTCTTTGTAGGGGGAGTAACTGTTTTGCCCATATAAATTAATTCTTCTGCCAATCTCATTCTAAAACTTAATAAGTCCATAATTTTTTTTTTAGGGACTTTTAATTGTTTGGTATCTTCAATATACTCCACCAAACTATTACTTACAGCCATGTCAAATGCATGAGAGACCATACGTAGTGTCCATTTTTTTGACCTAATGAAGCAACGATAAAAACTAACAAGTTGGTCGTGTTGTCGACCCCCCCCCCCATCGTTTTGTTGTAATGTCGTACTATTTCTGGTCTTTCAATATATATAAATTCCTTTTTTTTTCTGTCCCATCTTCTAACAACGTCAACGTCTCCCGATGTTATAATATTTGAGCACAAATATATAGGTTTGTTGTCGTACCACTTGACAAGACCTATATTTACATCCGGGACGTTAGAGCTGATCTCAAATGTAGTCCCTCTTCCCAAATTTGTCATAGTTTTATCGGATAAAAATGGAGGATTACAAAATCGATTTGAACGTATTGTACCAGTTGCATAATTTTTTTTTTTTTTTGCAATGTATAAATAAATTTATTGATGTAAAAAAATTATCCATAGTAAAATAGTGGCGGTTACTTTTTAGGTGTTCAGAAAGAAACAAAACTACTGATCCACCTAATCCAAATACTTTCCGTGATTCTTCCGATACTTCAGGCATATTACCTTGGTACATTAGTAAATTGTACACAATGCCGCTTTGACACATATAATAAAAAGTTTTATTCCCAGGGATTTGGTTTTCCCCTGATGTACTGTTTTACAGAAAGATGGCCTTTAAATGGAACGATTTGTTCGTCTACTGATAAATATTCCTCTACAGGTAGTCTAACATGTTTTTTTAATTCGGCCAAAGAGTGGTCGAACTTTTATAAATTTGTCATTAGTATTTTTCGGAATATCAATATTATTAACCACATGAAAATGCGATCTTAGACTAAAAAAACGATTTCTATTCATCGTATCGGCAATCATTTTTATTCGCGTATTATCCTCCCAATACATGCGAATACGCGGGAACTTCAAAGCACCCATCACTAAATGCATAGCAATGAATTCCTCATTTCTTTGGATATTTTGTAGACTATACAACTATTAGTATTTTTTTGAACCGCGTACAAATTTGTAAAAAATGACATGTTTTCAAAATCAGAATCATCAAAATATTTTGAAAAATAATATATTGGATTTTGTATTTCGTCTGGACACTCAGAGTGTTCCGTTTCGTTTAAACTTACCTAGGAGGTCTAAAGGTTTTGTAGCCACGTCATATTTTTCTTTTCAACTGTAAACCATCCGGGGACATCAACTTCCGGAATATCATTTATATTTTCAAATTCAATAAAGTCGGGCAATTCAAAGTTTTCATTTTCATCAAAATTAGCTAGTAGCTCGTCAATCTCTTCATCACTATCACTTTCAAAATCACTTAGTTCGGAAATATTTCCATCTAATAATTCAACAAGTTCGAAATGAGTAAGTTTACTCATTTTAAAAAATTAAAATGTTAAAATAAAAAAGGTAAAATTACGTAGCGCGATTAACTAAAGATCGATAATTAAAACTCCGATACAGCGCCGAATATCAACAACGGGTCAACGTTCGTCGTACCTCGTACGTATGGCTATTTCCGTGTCGTCTAGCGCGCTCGTGGTGTACCGGCGAGTCCCAATGTACATTGCAATGTGCATATATAATACCTACTATAAACTTCGTTATATTGTAAGTAAGATAACGAAAGTGGAGGCAAAACCTCAATAGGAATGTCAGTAATTGATAAAAAAAATTTAAATATTTCTACGTTATCCTAAACATTCGGACATTCTGGAAAAATAATCATTATGTGACTGTCGTAGATTTTTCCCTTTAATTAATTTTCCCTACAATATTGGTAACACTGGCATAGATATAAATATGTTATTATGATTCTACACATGATTACCAATGCATAGACATCTCAAACATGCATGTAGCTCTTATCATTATTTAATTATCAAATATAAAAATGTGTGTACATTGTAATGTACATGGGGACTGAAAGGGTTAAGAAATTGGCAATCCATCAATATTTATTCCCAATTGTATAATAGATGTATTTTTAAGTTGTTCAATATAAGCTAGTAAAATAGGTGTATCATAAATTCTATACCAATATGAATATATGTACCAGGGATGAACATTAATTATGCATGGTTCTTGGGGTTTGAAATAGAGTTCTTACATCTTTTGGCAAATCAAGTCCTTCAGATCTAAGAATTTCCAAAAGTTTATTTACACAGTTATGTGAAATATGAAAGTCACAAATTAACTGTCGTAATTTATCCTTAAGTGTTTTACTTTCAGCACTAATAGGTTGATTTGGATTATTAATTAAGCCTGTAGCTAATTCATTTGACCGATTAAAATTGTCTGGTAAACTGGGGTACATTGTAGTTTGATTAGTTTGAGCATTTGATGGGGTACACACATTTGTAAAATCTTGATGTTGCAACACTTCAACATACTCACAGTTTGTAGTACTTTCTTTCAGATGACTTGTTAGCGCAGTAAAATTTAAGCTAGCTGCTTTCTTATCAGCTTCAAGACATCGTTTGAAATTTGTTTTGGACATATGATGCAACGGTTTTCTTTTTTTTAACTATAACAGAAATTGTAATGCAGAATTTAAACAATATACTCAAATAAAAGTTAAATTTTGTAACTATTTTAAAAATTAAAGGTCAATATTATATATTTCAACTTTTAAGTACCGATGTATAAACTAAACTAGTATCTAACATCCTAACCTAACCATTTTAGAAAATGTATAGGCCAATATTATATAGGTATTTTAACTTGTATGAATGTACGATGTACATGACCTAACCTAGATTTAGACTAACTTAATTAGTAGGTACCTATATAATTTCCTGAATATTATCTAAAATATATATAATATTATTTAAAGACATTAATTTATTATACATAAATCATGTATATAATACTTACTATACAATATATAATAGATGAGTATACGTTTATACTATTGTTTTCTTTTTATAATATAAATTAATAAATTATTGGAAAAAATATTATTTATTCTTAGTCTGTTGATCTCTTATTAATCGCTGTGAGCCATGACGAAACCAGTCTTTAACATGCAACTCGAAATCAAGGTCTGATGAGTTGAATTTTTCCCTAGATAAGTCTATAGAACAAATAAACAAACAAAAATGAGAATTCCCACTAAACGTTTGTAACACAAAAATATTTAAATTACCTTTCATGATGCTCATAAACCAAATATTTTCGAGCCTGTAGTTATTTCGAAAACCTGTCCACGAACATTTTGAAGATAGCTCGTTACTAAAAATCCTTTGTAATACACGTTTAATGAAATTTTTGATATCAATACCTCCTATTCTAGTAATAAAATTCGTCTGAAAAATGTTTATTATGTCTTTAATAGGACTTTATTTAAAGGGAATATGCATTAGTAGGTATTTATATGTAACAGGCATAAACATAAGGGCAAACATACGTCATGTGAAGCGAATAGGTAAAAAAAAAATTAAAAAAAATTAATATTCTTACCACATGTAGTTTAAAATCTGAATCATTTGTGATACGAGTATCAAAATCTTTAAGTGAATCGATATCTTTTAAAGGAAACATGGTTAAAAATTCACTATCTATAGGATTATTATTATTATTTTGGGTACCAGCTGACATATTTTTTATGATTGTTTCAAGACAATCCAATCTTCCATCAATTCTTTTTAAATATGCATTGGTTTCAATGCCTTGTTCATATATAATATTTAATATTTTTGACTGAACAGCATCTGAAGTAGAAAAATAGTTATTACTTATTATACAACTAGGTACTAAATACAATATTTTACATGATATTAGAATTTAGATACATGTATATTTTTTAATAAAAATAAACAGTTTTTAGTTTTTAGCAAAGCATAATTTAATGTAACATGTAAATAAATTGCATGAGTGCATTAATGTTTTTGCAATAGTTAAGTGGTCTTAAATTGTCATCTTTTAATTGTGATATATTAACATTAAAAAAATCTTAAAAGTTATAACATAACTACAACTCACCACGATTAACAGAAAAATTGTTTAAATTATTATTAAGTATAGCTGAGGCAGACAGTAATGGGCGAGGTGTTGGAAACTGGGAATTTTGTGTTGTAGTTTCAGTACACAAGGAGATGCAGACTCATAAACATTTTGATCGTTCATATTTAATAATGTGTCCATTGCAGCTAAACATATTTTAAACGGGCAAATTGCACATTAAATATTATACATTTAATGATTTAAACTCCTACAACAAAAATTCGTAAATACTAATCTTACATATTTATTACTATTTTACTATATATATCTTTCTCCTCAAATTGTAACTCTTATACTCATAACATACCTACCATATAATTTGCTCTTATCTCACTAAATTACCTATCATTATTACCATGTATCAAACCTTTTATAATCACTATTTTAATGTTAAACAATTTATCAATTATTATTATTTAATATTAGCTTTAATGGATTTATCTGTTAACACCATATTCATATCGATTCCAGAATTACAAATTACATTTAGCCAGCTTATATTACTTTCTCTCAAATCATTATTTGAACGATATCGCTATCTGCGTTACCATAACACTAATTGGCTCTACGATCAGTTTTACGTTATAAATAACAAATTGTATATTATACCCTACACCATATTATAATGAATGATAACACTAATTACGCATTTGTTCACGAAAAAGTAAATAACGTGAACTCGGTTAATTGCTCTTTTGATAGTCTAGATACCTTTGTATACAAACAAAACTCACTCAATATATTGACAACAAATATCTGTAGTATTAAAAAACACTTCGATGAACTATGTATTATTCTTGATAACATTGAAACCAAATTTGAAGTGATCGTTTTAACTGAAGCATGGCTAGGTTTAGATAACATATCAATTAATAACTTCGCAATAAACGGCTATACAACATACTCCACCACAAACAATAAAAATCAAAATGATGGTGTTGTAGTCTACCTAAAGGACACATTAAGTAATATCATTGTTACCGAAACCAATACACAAGCATTAACAGCACTAGAGATTTCTTTTAAAGGCGGTAACACACGACTGGTGTACTTGGCCAATGTTGGTCACTGGTGGCCAGTGACCAGCCGTGTGGGAAGTTGAGCTGGTACAAATGTTGGTCACTGGCCGTTTCCCGTCAATTGTCGGTAAATGGTGCACAAGTCAAAGAACGGCCAGTCATTATGATGTGCATTGGTGACAGTTCCCACATGACTTGGCAAGTGGCTGGCAAACTACTGGGCTTTGATATCAAATATTTCGATAATTTAATAAAGAATAATATTTAAATTTTTAAAAACGTTTGAATTGAAGATTTGATAATGATAATGTTTATGTTTCAATGTGTGTAATAAATTGTATAATATGTTCCTTAATTATAATTGTACCTATATAGATTATTATTGTACATACGTACCTACATAGATATTACCTATGTTATGTGGGTATTAATTACATTTTAAAAATGTTGACTGTAAATAATATTTACCTGCAGTACCTATGGTATAATTTGCCCATAGACCATAGTCATATTTTATAAAACTATTTATAGTATTAGATTCTAGGAGTATTTACAAAATATTTCCGGTTTCAAAATTATCCAAATACCTATAGTATATTTATTTATAGTATTAAATATTAATATGTACAAAATTAGGCTCACCGAGAAATAATAATTTAGTATACGTTTGTATGTTGTCCAAAACGTGTTTATTGTGCAGTACAAATCTATATAATATTGTTATGAATGTTAATACTTAATATTATAATTTAATTAAAATGGATTGGTCGAATGAATTGACGATGGAATTTTTGGATGCCTACGAAAAAGAAAGTGTGATATGGAATCCTAAAAACAAATCTCATAGCAATCGAAATCTTGTAAACGATGCATGGAAGAGGATTCAACAAGGACTCAGTGCATCATATGATATAGCAGCTTTAAAAAAAAAAAAGAATCTCTGATGTCAACATTTCGGCCTTTGCATCAAAAGGTCAAAGAGAGTATGCGAACCGGTACTGCTCCAGATAATGTTTTCAAACCAAATTGGTTTGTTTATAATAAGATGGACATTTTCTTAAGAGACGTCTATGAAAAAAGAACCACAATTAACACAGAGGTATATATATATTTTATAACTATTTTATTTAACAATATTGATCCTGCCATGGTAACTTACCATTTGTTATAAAATAATTTGCGAATTCATCCCTAATATGTTTTGCCTCGATCGCCGATTTCCTAGCGACTCTACGTATTGGCAATAATGATGAAATGTCCCCTATTTCACCTCGGCATGTACCTGGGACGATTTCTCCTGCATTTTCATAATCCAAAACTCCGGGCGGCGAATACATTTTGGAAGACGTCCTACTTTTTCTTAAAAAGTTATGTAGTAAAACGCATGTCATGACGATATTTGTTGCATTTTCCGGTTCTACTAATAACGGTTTTCTTAACACACGGAAAACGGATGACATAACGCCAAACACGTTTTCTACCACTCGACGAGCTCGCGACAAACGATACTTAAATACTCTTTCGGCGCTTCCTTTGTCGTATGTGCCAGGATAAGGTTTCATTAAATTTTGGGACAACGCGAAAGCATCATCAGCAACAATTACATATGGAATAGGTAACGTTTTTGAAGGTAATGGTTGATTAGTTGGGAGCATTAATTTATTTTCTTCGATTTTTTGGTATAAAATAGTGTTTCGGAAAACTCCACCATCGCTTATACGGCCTTGACAACCAATATCAGCAAACGTAAAACAATAGTTTGCGTCTACTAACGCCATTCAGAATTACTTGAATTCACTGATGTAAATAAAGCCACTGAATATTTCACTAGCACTTTAAATAATCTAAAAAACCAAGCCTCGGCTGAAATATCCATCTCCTCAAAAACCAAAAAACTGAAACCATGGGCCACTACCGCGATTATTAACTCAATAAGACAAAGAGACCGTCTCCATTTACAAGTTAAGAAACACCACCTTAATTTAAATTTAAAAGATTACTACGTACAATTTAGAAACAAAATTACAAAAATAATAAAAAATGCAAAGATCCTTTACTATAAATCAGAATTACTAAAATCTGGAAATAACACAAAACTTAAATGGCAGACTATTAACAATATCTTAGCAAAAAATAAGAAATCAAGTAACCTTAAAGAATTATTAAATAACTCTAAAAACAAAAATGATTATACTGATGAAAACCCCGAATATGTTTTGGCTGAAAAATTTAATAAGTATTTTACAAATGTAGCTACCGATTTAATTACGTCACTAAAAAACCGTAAAAATACCTATAATTGCACTACAAACTTCGACAAAAATTCACAAAACAAGGTTTGCTTTAATAAATTCGACCCAATCACTCATACTGAAATTTTTGAAGCTATCTCTAAATTAAAAAATGGATCTTCACCCGGTCTTGATAAGATATCCTCCGATTTACTAAAAAAACATAGTTTAACATTTTGTAAACCATTAAGTCATATTTTTAATCTATGCATATCACAAAATAAAGTACCAGATGCCTTTAAAGTAGCTATAATAACCCCCATACATAAGAAAAGTCTTATCTCAGCTCTCGAAAACTTTCGTCCGATATCAGTTATCTCAAACATAGCTAAAACATTTGAAAAAATTCTAAAAAAAAAACTTATATTCTACTTAGAATCAAACAATCTTCTTTTTGAATATCAATTCGGTTTTAGACCTCATAGAAGCACGGACCAAGCAATAGCTAATGTCACAAAACTTATCTATACTGCACTCGATGAAGGAAAAAAATGTGCTACAATTTATTTAGATCTGGCTAAAGTCTTCGATACAGTGGATCACGATAAACTTCTAAGTAAAACTCAGAACATAGGCATAACTGGATCGGCCTTGTCTCTCATTAAATCCTATCTAGAAAACAGAAAACAGAGGGTAAAAATAAACAGTACCTACTATTTCCAATGAAAATACTATAAAATGCGGAGTACCTCAAGGTACTACACTATCACCGGTTCTCTTTAACATCCATTTAAACGATATAAAATTACTTAAGTTAAATAGCAAAATAGTGTGTTATGCAGACGACACCGTACTGATCTGTATTGGTAGTTCTTGGAATGAAGTATTCCAAAACATTGAAGTCGATCTTAAATCTATCCATAATTGGTTGAGCGATAACAGTTTATTTCTAAATCTCAATAAATCAACCATTTTACTCCACTCACTGTCTGAGCAAACTTTACCACCCATACACAATATAAAAATCCACGATTCCAATTGTAATACATTGGATAGCTGTAGCTACATTTAAAAATGTATAGACATTTATATTCAAATATTTAACTTTAGAATTATTAAAAAATTATCACTAAACTAGGTATATGAATAATGAATATGCATTTAAGAATAGATATATAATTACTAGAAGACATAGATCCCAATGAATTTGGTTCAAAACTATAATTGCAAGACTCTTCTTGAACTCCAGTTAAACTTTTTGCTTCATCATTTCTTTTCTTTATTACCATAAGTGGTTGATCACCATCACTGCTGTCTATAAATATAAATGTTGGTTGAATAGTAAAGAAAGTACAAAAAATATTATTAATTTTGCTGCTAAAAATTCTAAAAGAATTTATTTAAAAGATATATTTAAAAATATGATTTTTTTTTTTTTAATAATATAATTTTATTATTATTAACAATTATTGTGTAGGTATTATAGGGCAAACGCTTCATCATAATTATCTACATATAATTTAATGTTTTATTAATTGTACTTGTATACATAAGGTTATGTCTTATACTAATTTTATAATAGCAAATTGGTATATTATTATATTTTTTTTATTCAAGTGAGTACCTACCACAGATCTGTGGTAGCAACAAAAGTTACATACCTACATTTTAAAAAAAAAAAAACATCTTATCATCTAACTATAAGTACCTAGGAGTTTTCAAATACAAATATTAAATATAATAATAAAAATTAGAAATATTTTCACTCAGTCTATAGGATCTAAGTTATCATTTATATTATATTTAAATTTCATTATGCATTATATGTATACATACCAAAACATAAGCCGTCCACTAAATTTACTGGATACAAAGACCAGTTATTTGAAGGCTCTATGGCATTACTTAGCATGACTGGTGTAACTTTCTGCTTCCTGGGCCATTTACAATACACTATTTTGTCTTGACGACTTATCCAATTATTAGGAATGACAGAATAAGTATTTTCTTCTTCGAAGTAACCCACAAACCACTGGAATTAATTATTACAAACAAGATCAAATAATAGAATACAATTTAGAATGAATATCAGTATTACCTACTATAAACGATCAAAACATTGTATATCCCTACCTTTGTAATATAATACAATTTTTAATTTGTAACATAATATAACTATGTTTATTGGATATTATAAAGTGCATGTGTTTTCTTTTTTTTTTTATCATTATATCTAACTTCAAACACAATACAAAATATTAAATTTCAATTTTCCAAAACTGAAACAAACTACCTATTGTAACTATCTCCCTTGATAAATAAAATATAATATTGACCTTTAATTTATCAGATATCTGAACTAAAATTCCTGACAAATTTATAATGCCCAAAATTAAGAAATACATTGTAGTAAATAAACTTTTATTTTATACTAATACAAATAGGTAAAATAAAATATTATTGGTAATAAACTAATAACCTGAGGGATTGCTCCTTCCTATTATCATAATATGAAATCATTTGCTGACAGAATAAAAAATGTACCTACCTATTCTAATATTTTTAAAGAATATATTGAATGGATTTGTTTAGTCCCTGTACCCAAATTTTTATGAATTAGTAAATAACATTTTCATAACATTATTTAATACAAAAGATTGAGAAACACTGTTCTACTGTATAAAATCCTAATTTGCTTTTTAAGAGGACGCCACACCACTCGTAATTCGGTTGTAAAAACTGTTTCGCGCGGGACAACTTTTCTCGCATCATAACTATAATAGAATAACCAAAATTTTACAACACATAGAGAAGAATTTTATCTATGTCGTAGCGTTTTTATTTTTTGGATAACATAAATAAGATTAAAGTTATTGGTTTGAGAACATTAGGTTTTTTTGTATTTTTCAATTAATTATTAAAAATTATTGGGTAGTGTTATCAAAAAAATAACGACGCTCCGACACAGATAAATTTCTTCTTTATAGGGATGTAAAATTTTGGTAATTTTTTTGCTAATATTGAAGGAGTAAAGTTGTCCCGCGCAAAACAATTGTTGGCATGTGAAATTATTGTAAAATAATTTTTCTAATTATTATCGAAATATTCCCTGGTGGCGTAAAACAGCACAACTTGGCTTCCCCTACTCTATTCAAGCACTCGCGTTTTTCGTTATCGGCCCGCACCGTCTGCCGTCTGGCGTCTCGACGAATTATTGTGACAGAAATAAACATTCCGATAATCAGAATTTGATAGACATAATATTATTATCTTGAATAATGAAAATAGACTATAGCCCTACTAGCATACAATAATAATATAGTATATAATATAATCAATGGGTATTACAAATTAATTATTTATATTTTATAAGCTACGACAACCTTATAACCTTATGACAAGATACGCTGTGGGATTACTACATACTTGTATACTTGTGACTTGTCTATGACTACATAGTACATATTACGATACTCGTCTAATGTATACCTAATTGTAATTAATCAAGATCAGAGTGGCCTTTTTATTTTATACATTGTACCTATTTAATTTGTATACACTTGAACATAACTATATCTATTTTTTTTTTGTGACAAATTTGTTTTGTCAATATGTCACCAAAAAAAATTCGTGATTTGAAGGTTACTTGGTTCGGTTTTATATTTTCTATTCGTATCCGAATTTTATACTAATAAAAACTATACTTTTGTTCTTCAAGTAATACGGCGTATTGAAGCGACTTACAACAAAACTACCTATTATAAAAATTGTAATAAAAATTTCGCCGCTACATAGTGGAATTTTTATTGAAAATATTATTCTATCGTTCATTGGGTGAAGGTCTATATGTAATATTTTGTATATTTCTTGTATATTAGTTTCATTAAATTTGATAGGGATTTGTAAATTTTCAGGTAGAATATTTGTAAACCATTAAGTCATATTTTTAATCTATGCATATCACAAAATAAAGTACCAGATGCCTTTAAAGTAGCTATAATAACCCCCATACATAAGAAAAGTCTTATCTCAGCTCTCGAAAACTTTCGTCCGATATCAGTTATCTCAAACATAGCTAAAACATTTGAAAAAATTCTAAAAAAAAAACTTATATTCTACTTAGAATCAAACAATCTTCTTTTTGAATATCAATTCGGTTTTAGACCTCATAGAAGCACGGACCAAGCAATAGCTAATGTCACAAAACTTATCTATACTGCACTCGATGAAGGAAAAAAATGTGCTACAATTTATTTAGATCTGGCTAAAGTCTTCGATACAGTGGATCACGATAAACTTCTAAGTAAAACTCAGAACATAGGCATAACTGGATCGGCCTTGTCTCTCATTAAATCCTATCTAGAAAACAGAAAACAGAGGGTAAAAATAAACAGTACCTACTATTTCCAATGAAAATACTATAAAATGCGGAGTACCTCAAGGTACTACACTATCACCGGTTCTCTTTAACATCCATTTAAACGATATAAAATTACTTAAGTTAAATAGCAAAATAGTGTGTTATGCAGACGACACCGTACTGATCTGTATTGGTAGTTCTTGGAATGAAGTATTCCAAAACATTGAAGTCGATCTTAAATCTATCCATAATTGGTTGAGCGATAACAGTTTATTTCTAAATCTCAATAAATCAACCATTTTACTCCACTCACTGTCTGAGCAAACTTTACCACCCATACACAATATAAAAATCCACGATTCCAATTGTAATACATTGGATAGCTGTAGCTACATTTAAAAATGTATAGACATTTATATTCAAATATTTAACTTTAGAATTATTAAAAAATTATCACTAAACTAGGTATATGAATAATGAATATGCATTTAAGAATAGATATATAATTACTAGAAGACATAGATCCCAATGAATTTGGTTCAAAACTATAATTGCAAGACTCTTCTTGAACTCCAGTTAAACTTTTTGCTTCATTTCTTTTCTTTATTACCATAAGTGGTTGATCACCATCACTGCTGTCTATAAATATAAATGTTGGTTGAATAGTAAAGAAAGTACAAAAAATATTATTAATTTTGCTGCTAAAAATTCTAAAAGAATTTATTTAAAAGATATATTTAAAAATATGATTTTTTTTTTTTTAATAATATAATTTTATTATTATTAACAATTATTGTGTAGGTATTATAGGGCAAACGCTTCATCATAATTATCTACATATAATTTAATGTTTTATTAATTGTACTTGTATACATAAGGTTATGTCTTATACTAATTTTATAATAGCAAATTGGTATATTATTATATTTTTTTTATTCAAGTGAGTACCTACCACAGATCTGTGGTAGCAACAAAAGTTACATACCTACATTTTAAAAAAAAAAAAACATCTTATCATCTAACTATAAGTACCTAGGAGTTTTCAAATACAAATATTAAATATAATAATAAAAATTAGAAATATTTTCACTCAGTCTATAGGATCTAAGTTATCATTTATATTATATTTAAATTTCATTATGTATTATATGTATACATACCAAAACATAAGCCGTCCACTTGTTATTTGAAGGCTCTATGGCATTACTTAGCATGACTGGTGTAACTTTCTGCTTCCTGGGCCATTTACAATACACTATTTTGTCTTGACGACTTATCCAATTATTAGGAATGACCGAATAAGTATTTTCTTCTTCGAAGTAACCCACAAACCACTGGAATTAATTATTACAAACAAGATCAAATAAGTAAGGTCATTGCTGTGGAAATTTGTATTTTAAATTATTGAAGTAGTGGAAAAATCTGTGTATAAAAGACAGAGGGAATTCACTAATATTCACCAGTCTTCAAGATTTCATCCCAGGACAAGCAGCTCAGTTCAACAGAGATACTACCAAAAAAGATGTCGTACCGTACAATTGCTTCAACTGATTCAGAGGTTAGTAACTACTTAGTAAATATCTTATAGCCAAAGCTAATTGGATACGAGTCGTAACACTACTCAACGCTTTGGTTATAATTCTTAAAATAATATTAAATGCCTGATTATAACATAGTTTAAAAAACTAAATAGTAACTAAAGCATATTGGAGGTCAGTCGTGGCATTAGTCAACGCTTCGGTTATAATTCTTGGAACATAGAAAATATAAAATGAAAAAATACTAAAAAATAATATACTATGTTTTATGTTTCATAGAATGAACATTTCAGCGAATCAATTGATATGAGACCGTCTTTTTCAAAAACAAAACCTGGTCTAAAACGTGCTGCAGAAATAACAAGTGCGAAAAACCTATGAAAAAAAAGCAGAATAAAATGGTAATATAAATAATATTTTTTATAATGATAGCATAAATAACTTAATTTTTTTTATAGAATGCATCATACAGAGACAATGTTACCGAAAGTTTGAGATCAGAAGAATTTGATGTCGAATTAATTCGCTGACATTTAGATAAGGGGATGGTGTTGTGTTTTCACAGACTTTTCAGACATAGAAGTAATTACCAGTGCTTTACAATACTTGTGTGGGTCGCGGACTAGAAACAGCCGCATCGCCGTCCACATCAAGTATAATTCAAATTACAACTATTCTCCGGTAGAATTATTATTCTGTCGACAAATTTTAAATTACTTAAAATTAACTATATTATTAGTTTCGTGTTTATAAACATTATATCTATAATTAACTACATTTTGTGTTAAACTATTCTTACTCTACCTTCACTTCAACCACCATCCTCCGATTCATTGCGACGACGTGTACGTGCATTCGTCGTTAAAGAAGTGTGCAGTAACCAATCAAGTGAGAGCGACGGGTTACTACATAAAATTTGGTGTCAGGTGTGGGGTTTCACTTCATCAAACGAAAACTTTTCGAGTACATCGAAAAAAGTACTTTGAGACCCACCGACGAAACCACGTTCACAAC